CCTTATCAGATATAGGATTTGTAAATATTTTCTCCTATTAAGTAGGTTGGCTTTTAATTTTGTTGATGGTTTCTGTTCCCTTTTATTATTTCATAATAACTATCATCATATGTTTCAAATGACCAATGAGGAAGGTGAAAAGGAAGCAAGATCAGGAAAGAAACAATTTATCATAAAAATCAATGCACCATTTTTGTGGCATTTTTAGTTTTAAATGCCCCTTCCATTTTCTCAGGCTGCTCTCACAGGTCATGTTGCTGCTATTCCACCCAAAATCACTTCCTTAGCTTCCAACCACAATTAAAAACTCCCCTAAAAGTTGACTTTTCCAAATAAGACCCATAAAATATACTCATAAGCCTTTGTAAAAGTTATGCCTTAGTTAAAATACCAATCAATGTTTGGATCATACAAAGTATAAGTTTTCTTTCTAAATCTGGAAGCCAAAATGCTACCTTTTACTGATACATGTTGACAAAGGCATATAGATACCAATAAGCAAAGCTAATTACAGGTGTGAAAAAGCAATACTCAAGGGAAATTTTCACTTTTTCAAATGTTTTGTTTTCAAATAACAGACTTAGAAATTTCTTCGAAACAACTTTTCCTATTGAAAAAGAATACTTCTGTCCACTATTTACACATTTTATACATGTGTTTTGCTATTTCTAGAAAAGTGATTTTCCTTCAATAAAAAATTCATTTTATTTATTTATTTATTTTTGTGTGTGTGTGGTACGTGGCCCTAGCGGGAACCGAACCCGGCACTCTCTGGTCCGCAGGCCAACGCTCAATCGCTGAGCCAAACTGGCCAGGGCAATAAAAAATTCATTTTAAGAAAGTAACTTCAAACATCAAACTATTTTGAATCTCTTAAATTATTATTGAACTAATTTTGGGGTGATGGCTCACTTTCTTCTTGATTCCCTTAATTTACCCAGAATTAGTAGTAATGAAAAACTTACCTCTGCTACTCACTGAATAAAAGGAAATTGATTAATAGCAAAACAAAACATATAAGACAGCAGAACCACAGACAAAACTGTTAAGAGCTATTATACAAAAAAACCCACTTTTATTTTTATTTTTTTTTTCCTTTATTGATATGAGAGAGAGAGAGAAACATCGATGAGAGAGAACAATGATTGGTCGCCTCGTGCATGCCCCCCACTGGGGATCGGGCCTACAACCTGGGGATGTGCCCTGACCACAACCTGGGCATGTGACCTGACCGGGAATTGAACCGGCGACTTCTTGGTGTATGGGTTGATGCTCAACCACTGAGCCACACCAGCCAGACAAAACACTCACTTTTAAAAACCATACTTTAGTCTCATAAAGATATACTTAAAATTTTAAAATATTAGTTTCATCCTACTATACATTAAAGATAGCATTATATAAATGTAGTGTTAACATTTGTGACACTATGTGTATAAAACGTGTCTGCAAAGCAACACTTGAAACAGATGTAGCATAAATGCTTGAATTTCATGATTTTTTTATGGTCCCCAAATCAAACTTAATTCCACCCATCCAAAGCTGACTACAAGTAACAGGTATGACTAATTTTAAAAGAGTACATATCCATGCTCTAAGGGGTATGCAACAAGAAGTTACTACGTCCGAGGTGAAATTCTATATTCACATACTCAAGAGTATACATTAGTGAAAAGTTCCAGTCACAGTAACTTCACGACAAGATTTATTGTCAGAGCTTGTAAGTGGATATACTGGGAATAGTTCCATGCCTATTAGGGAAAAAACTCCCAACCTAAGGGCACAGCTTATGCCTGTTGCAACACCAACAGAACTGAATCATCTAGTAGAAAAAAGAAAAAAAAACAAGCTTTCACTTTGCAGTGTTTAGAGTTGAATATAACCAGACCCAAGAAATAAGCAGTTATTTTGAGAAGAGATCAAAACAATTGCCCTCCAACTGTAGAAGAATTGAAAAATACATTTCACATTATTCTGCATAAAAAATAAGCTACAAATCAAACCTTAACATCACTTTGCTGAAAGAACCTGAGGAACTAAGATGTCTGCTGACAAAGAAAGAACTATTTGATAATCAGTGTGACAGAAAACAGACATTGACGACTCCCAGCTATGAGCAAGTGAAAAGCTAGACTAAGTTTTAAGAAAAATTCACCAACTGTTCTAAAATTTCAGACCTTCCAAAATGGCTAGAGCCTAACAGCAAAAGAACAAATAATTACCACATGCTGAGGGGAGGGTTGGGGGTAAGCTGTAGGGAGTGGCTGAAAGAGACTCAGAAAAAGAAAATGCTCCCAAACTGTAGCATATCATTAGTAATTCAGGTACAGATAGCAACATAATAAGAACTACGTTGAGATCATTAACCATTTCCTAGAACATGTAATTATCTTTTAAGATTACAATGAAAAACCTGAATAACCTTGGAAAAACATAAAGACTAAATAAGAAAATAATTTATGATTAGTAATTACAGGTATTGTCTTCCTATACAGGGCCTACATAAGGAAAAAAGATCAAACTCAAATGGGAAGAATTTTTTATTTTTTTTTTATTTTAGGGAAAAATGTAGTATATAAGATGACAGGATAAAAAGGGCTAACAGATGAAATTTCCACTAAAAAGAATATTTAACTTTTCCCCTCTGTTCATAGAACTATCTTGAGCTTCTAAAATACCATGGATAAATTATACAACCAGTAAAAATGTTAATTATGTGGCAGCCCAGAAAAAAATCATGGGACATTATAGGTGGAAAAGATAGAACACAAAGTAATATGTACACTGTGATTACAGTGCTAGGTAAAAAGATGTGATGATGGTTGTTAAGAAGGTGATGAAATTTTCTTTTTCCTTTCCAAACATTCTGTAAATATTGCCATGAAAGTATTATAGGTCAAACCAATTATTATTATTTTTTTTTCTGTTGTCTATGTGACTTTGTTTGTTCAAAACCCATTTTTAAATTATCAGTCTTGGCATTCAGAAAAATGCCAAATAAGTGGTTCCTTTAAAGAAAAGAAAAGGCACACTGCTTTGTAGTTTATACTTTTTTACTACTTCAAATTAAGGAGGATGTTAAATGGCCACACTATAAATGGTTGCTTTTTTATCTGTATTAGTACTCAAGGGGTGTCGACCTTCAGACTTAGGATGTTAAAACATCTGCTCTTCTAAGTGGAAGAAATGGTCACACCCTTTTGGGAAACAGAACTTTCAAAAAGATTATGGCATTTTGAAAGATGTCTGCTTGGCTCCATTTTTCTATATACACAAATCAAAAACCGAAAACAAAGTATGAAAAACAGGAGTTTTTAAGGGGAATCTTAATCAAATTGTTCATGGAAACTAAGAGTTACAAAGTTAAAGCCTCCCTCTTTTTTTCTATTCTTTTTCTCCCCTTTGGTTTTATTTCTGAAGGATCAGTCTCCTTGACCAACTATTCAGTTTGGTAGTTTCCATTCTTTTAAATACGATATCTGGCTGAAACGAATTACAACACATCCAGATGGCGCCTCCCCAGTTCTAGGAAGATAATTATAAGAAAATGAGGGCGGCTAACGAAAGAGTTCAAGGATTGCGGTAATATAATTTTTAAGGTTCAATATACAATGCAAACAGGACTCTTATACAGATTGATTTAATAGCTGAGTTCTATTTCTTTTTTTAAAATTTATTTATTTTTTTTTAAATTTTATTTTTGTTACAGATGTTTCTCCTTTTTTACCCCATTGACCCCCTCCTCCCCATCCCCCCGCCCCGTCCCCCGCTTTGTCGTCCATGTCCCTTGGTTATGCATAGATGCATATAAGTTCTGTGTTTTATCTCTTCCCACCCCCCACCACCCCCTCTTGTGAGGGTTGTGAGTCTGTACCCTACTTCCGTGTTTCTGGGTCTACCCTATTCCTCAGACTGTTATATTCGTCCCCCCATCTGAGTTCTATTTCATTGGGTCACTGCAGGTAAAGCGGATCTTCTCCTTTCCATTAGTAACATAAATTACCCCACGAGTGAAGTCCTCCCTACTTTTCTCCTTTAGGTCAGAATCCTTTGGATCGAATCATCCAACTTTACTATTCTAACTCTGCGCAGTCGAGTCCTTTCCTTCCTTCCTTTCGTTTTCACTGAGCAAATCCTTGCAAAACACAAACCTAACTTATGAGGTAAATAGGTAGGCTAGGTCTCTAAACACCTCTGCCTCAGGTGGGTTCCGACTGCGCATCGCCCCACCCCGTCGTGGCTTGGCTGCTCTCAAAGGAAACACTAACAGTAGCTAAGGTAACCCAACCAATTCCGAAGAAGAAACGAAAAGCTTCTCTGATCTAGGGTTTGAGAGGCTTGCTAGGTGGACAGATTTTTCGTTGGGCGGGGTGGGTTGAAGACCACAGAAGTGCAAAAGCAGTAGTCTAATCTTTGAAGGTCGGTGGCTGGCGCTGCCAAGCACTCAGCAGGAAGGGGGCGGAGGAAGCGGGGGTGAGGGGAGTGGAGGAGAGGAGGATATGGGCGGGGAGAAGGAGGGGGTAAGAAGGAGGGGCCAGAGGAGGACCCAGGGCTTCAGTGGGGCTGGAGCACCTGGGGCGGAGTCAAAACCTCACCCTTCCCCTCCGCCAGAGCCGCGCGCGGTGTGTACCCTGAAGGGGCGGGTCTCTTCCCTTCCCTCCTCTCCCTCCTTTCCATCTCAGCAGCGCCCAGTCTCCCTCTTTGGCTCATACAAAAGCAAAATGTCCGCCATCTTCCGAGGCCGCTGGTGTCGCCACCTTCACCGGCCAGGCTCTCCTGTTGTTTCTCCCCAGGGCTGCCCCTTCCCTGACCCCGGGCGCCACAGCGACTCTGAAGCCTCCGCCAGCACCGCTCCGCCAGCCCTCTGCGCCCCCCCCCCACCACCCCGCACGCCCCTTCGGGCGAAGCAGGACCGCTCAGGCGGGGGCAAGTAGGGGAAGCCGTCCCAGCTGACCGGCTCCCGATTCCTGGCCGCCCCACCTCCTTGATGGCTTCTTTACCTTGATGCAGTACGGGGGTTCATCGTAGGTGACCAGCATGTACCTGTCTCCGCGGCTGGCTGGGTCCCGGGCGCGCAGCTACCGGACGAGGGATGGCGGAGGGGGCCGCGAAGGGAAGGAAAGAGGAAGGGGCGACACATACGTTACAGAAGCACCTAAGCCACCAGCACCCCCACGGGATCTCTTCCCATCTCTCCCCTCCCCTCCCTTTACCTTCAAAAACAATTCCACAGCGCCTTTGGCAGTGTCCAAATAGGAGGTGCCCAGGTCAGTGCGCTGGTTCATAGAGGCGGACGTGTCTATGAGGAACAGCAGGATGGGCATCTTCCCCCTCACCCTTCGCCCTGCTCCCCACTCTCCTGGCCCTCTTAGCCTCACTGCTGCGTACTGCCACTGGAACCCTCAACTCTCTTAGAGCCAGGGCTCAGGGAGCCAGAGGAGAGAGGGAGACAGGACTGGGCGGATGGAACTGCTCCAGGCCTCCTCCTTTCCCTCCAAGGGAATGTGAAAGTGTATGCGTGTGTAGCCCTCGGGGCCCTCCCCCTTTCTCTCTTCCGCCACCACTGCCGCCGCCACCTAGACTACTGCCCAAGCATCGGTCCACGCTCACTCAAACGCTCGCTCCAGACTGAGAGCTGTCTCTGTTCACCCACACACAACTTCTGTTCGCTCACCAAACCACCGGCACCATGTGACCAGAACCCACGCCATTGGCTGCCAATTATGTTGTATTTGCATATTCATTAGATGACCATAAAGGGAGGGATTTTGGTGAACCCTGGGAGATGAAGTTTGAACCCAGTTGGGGGTAAGTGGAAATGTTAAGGACCCTCCTTTAAAGGCCTTGGGAGGTGTTAGGATATTTGGGGTATTGGATGGATTTTCTCTTGCCCTTCAAAGATGGTGATTCATTCAAAAGGAAGAGTGAATTTGAAGGACAGTTGAACAGAAGTACAGAAGCAGATGCTTAGACTGGCTGCACAGAAAAGGTTTTGTTAACTGCAATCGATCAATCCTGCTAGTGGCTGAGACCAAAACATTTCAGAAGCAGCAAACTTTATTCCTGGCAAGACCTATTCGCATTCCTTTAGCTCTCTTCCTACTCTAGATCAGTATTTATAAGTCAGTTGCTGGTCTTGCATTCTACATATACCTACTTGGAAAGGAAACTAAAGCTGAAATACAGTTACCTAATCTGACCTTTTGTGTGCACAAGCTTCTTCCATTTCACTGACCTCTTTGAAGTTTTGGCCTGCCTGTAATAAATCCACTCACTCTTGTATCTGTGCAGCCTTTGCACATGGGAGGTTTGCCAACCAAGATTCTGATTCAGCTCGCATTTATCGAGCACCTATGAAGTGCCAGGTACCCACGTTAACTTCATTTAATCCTTGAAATGATTACAATAGATGACATTTTTCAGTAAAGGGATGAGGGGTGTTCTCAGGTTTGGCTTCATGGAAAGGCTCAATGAGTGGCCAATCACACTTGGCTGACTACTTTATGTAACACGACTTTTAAATGCGGAGGTGTGTATTCCTAGGATGCTCTGCACAATGTGGAATCCTGACTTTCAATGAGTTTATAATTTTACTGATAGGTATATCTTTATGTAATCTTTTATACATTCTTTGTATTATACATGATAAATATGTGCACACATTCAATAATATTTTCAGAAAAATATGATTTCAGAAGAGCTACATGGCAGTATATGAATGAGGGACAAGTGATGCAAACAAAAAGTGCAATGGAAGCAATGATCCAGTGGTGTAGAAGTGCATGATTCATGGATGAGATAGCGGAGGCACAAAGGAGGAAGAGATTCTGGCTTGGAAGGAATGATGTAAACAAAAGTTCAGCCAGAGATAGTAATATGCACGCTGCATTTCAGGCAAGTCTGGTGGGATTTACCTGGTGGGAATTAATGGGGATATAGACACTAGAAGTTCCCATTTCCATTCTGATACAAATATTGAAGAAGAGGGCAATGCCTACATGGGCTATGGTGGTAAAAAATGCAGAACTGGTGGGGGCCGATGTATCAGTTTTCTATTTCTGTCTGTATATGGAGAGAGAGAGAGAGAGAGAGAGAGAGAGAGATTGATTCCCAGGTCACAAATGGTATTTTAAGATTACATTAAAAATTTTTCTTCTTTATTCTTTTCCCTCAAATTTTCTACAATAAGTATGCCTTATTTTATAATCAGAAAAGAGATTGTGTTAAAAAAAAAAAAAAAAAAAACTACATACAAAGTATTTTTAAAAATCATTCCAAGGTGAATACTACTGAAACAGTTTTCAAAACTGATTTACCATTATTAGGGAAGCACGAATGATTTTAGCCACACAGTGCTCCGGAGGTTGAAGGCTTGCAAGCCCTACAGATGTGCTCCCCAGGCAGATGAATTTTTAATGTATTTTTTTTTTTCTAACAGGGCATGTTATTGATCCGTTGTAGCATACAATCACATTGAATTGAAATGATGTAAATCTGAAAAATACCTGTCTCATTATAAAACGGAAAATGGGACAATATACAAAAAAACAACCATCTGGTGGATTTATGGGTTTATTCAGATCAAATCAAACCCCAAGACTTCAACATGAAACCTCTTCTTTGCTTCCTGGAGGAAAGTAGACCCTGTATTAACTAGAGTGTGTACAGACATTTTTAATGTGTGTGTTTTTTTTTTTTTACACACATCATCACTAAAACCCCCAAGCCCTTTCTACATCTGTCTCCACCACTGAACTTCAATGCCTTTGTGTTATAGGGTAATCTATGTTTTGGCTTTCTCTTACTGGAATGTAAACTCCTGAGAGAAAGCAGAACCTCTAACCAATACCTGCTGTGAAGTATGTGCTCAATAAATGGTTGTTGAAAGAAATAATTGAATATGCTGTGGCTGTCATTCTTTCATTGTCTTCCCAGGAGCTCCTTTTCTCAGGCTTCCCAGCCCTGTCTCTTGGCCCTGCCTGCTATCCCCTACTCAAGAGAGTAGTAGGTCCAGCTCCCTTTCTCTATGGATTCAGGGCATTTTGGATTTGGGCCCCAGTAGGCCCCTTCAGGCTGAGCCCTTGAACTGGTAACTCCCTCCAGAACCTTTGCACTTGCCCTTCTGAAATGATTCTTCTTTGGGCTACTGCTTCACTGTTTGGCTCCCTCAGCCAAATCTTCTTTCCAACTGATCCCAAATATCAGGCCCATTTTTATTGCAAGGCCTCTGGTCAGTTAACAGAATTCTTTTTTATTTGCAGCTCTATGACCTTCACTAACCTTCTGTCCTTCTGGCTTTCTCATGCTTTTTGGACTCTTGAAAATAGTTTCCTCTTTCCTCTTCATGTCTCCACTCTTTATCTGTTTTTATTTCACTAGTACCCTCTAAATCAAGTCACCATTCTCCCCCTATACCAGACTACCTCATGTCTAGGGTTACCAGACACTCTTTAGGAAAAAACTCCTACCAAGCACTGTTCTCCTGGCCTTCATTCCCTGCACAACAAACATTAGCATACTTTGCTCATGTTTACATTTTATGTAGTTGGCCCGTGGTGTGCTCCTCCACTATACAGAAGACTCTTTGTTTTAGTGAAGGCTGGTTTGACTTGAATTATATTCAAATGATTTGTTACCTTTTGCCTTTAAGCAGGCCCCAATCATCACATGTTGGCAAAAAACAAAACAACAACAACTTACTTAACCAATACCCCTTCCCCAATTCTACCTTTCATGACTCAGAGGGGAGTAAAATCTAACCCAAACCCTCATCAAGCTCATGCAATCTGGTTTCTGTCCCCAGCCGTCTCTGGAAACTGCTCTGAGCTCCCCAGGGGCCAGCTCCTGGCCAAATCAAATGGTCAGTTCTATTTTTCCCTTTGTTGACTTCAGAGCTATTTGTCATTTGCCCTTCTGAGCTTCCCCCACCCCTGATACCTTGCCTTTCATCGCCTGCCACTTCTAGTGTCTTCCTTACCCCCTGGACCATTTGCTTTAGACTTCTCTAACTCCTAACCTTGATCTCTGGCTCAGTCTGTGGCTACATCTTTTCTTCCTATTGTTCCCATGAAAGACTTTGTTATTTCTGCTATATTTATTCATTATTTCTTTTATTCAAAGATTTCTTGGTTGGACCTTCTGTATGACAGGCAATGAGAATACATCGGCGAACAAGGAGAACAGTGTATAGTAGTGGTTAAGAGCTTGGATTGGGGGGGTTCAAATCCCAGCTCTGCCATTTACTAGCTATGTGACTTTGGGCAAGTTACTTAACCTCTCTCTACCTCAGCTCTATCATCTGTATAATGGTAATAACAATAGTTTCTCATAGGATTGTTATGAAGATTAAATAAATCAATATTTATATAGAGTGTATAGAAGTGCTTAGCAAATGGTAAATTCTATATGTGTAAAATAAAAGCAAGGATAGATATAGTACATGCTCTTATAGATTATATTCTAGTAGGAAAAATAACCAAGAGTATATACAATGTGATATAAGTGCTATGAGTGCTATGAAGGAAGAAATACATGGGAGCACTGAGAAGGAACATACATTCTAAAGGGGGTGGAGAGGTCAGGGGGACATGTAGAGATTTCCTGAAGGATATGACTTTGAAGCCATTACTCACAGGGAATATAGGAAGTATCCTGGTAAAGGAGGACTGGTGGGGGTGAAGAATGATATGGGGGAGGCAGAAGAGTGTTCTAGACAGGAAATGGTGAGGTGGGTGAGATGGTGAGAGACACTGAAAGATATCCATTAGAAAAAAAGGAAAGTTCTATATTTCTGAATGAAATCTTACCATTTGCAACAAAAACATGGGTGGACCTAGAGAGTATTATGCTAAGTGAAGTAAGCCAGGCAGAGCAAGACAAACACCATATGATTTTACTAATATGTGGAATCTAAAAAACAAAATAAACCAACCACCAAACCCTAGAAACAAACTCATAGATACAGAGAACATATTGATGATTGCCAGGTGAGTTGGGTGAAAAAGGTGAAGGGAGTAAGAAGTATAAACGTGCAGTTACAAAATAGTCATGAGGATGTAAAACACAGCAAAGTGAATATAGTCAGTAATGTTGTAATAACTATGTATAGTGTCAGGTGAGTACTTGAAATATCAGAGGAATCATTTTGTAAGTTATACAACTGTCTCACCACTATGCTGTACACCTGAAATTAATATAATATTGAATGCCAACTATAATTTAAAAATTAAAACTTTTTTTCTGAAGTTGTAACTTTTCTGCTGCTGTCAAGTTTGAGCAAAATATCTTTTATGGTTTCTGGGTTTCTTGTCATGGTTTAAGAAGCTCTGCCTAATCCATGATTATAAAAATGTTTATATTTCTTCTAGTACATTTATGGTTTTATTTATTTTTTGATATTAAAATTTTTATTCCAAAGAGAAAAATGCATTAGAAACAAAATTGTTTACAAGTTAGGTGTCTGAAAAGGATAGTGATTAAGTAAATTATAGTATATACATACATACCATAGAGTCTTTAAGATGGATACAGTAGATCTTTAAAGCACTGACGTGAGATGCTCCCCATATTAAGTGAAAAAGAGAAGGCTTTTTAGTGTGACTCCATTTTTGTGTAAA